TATATATAGGTATGCAAGTTCATTTAAACTAAATTTGGTCAATCATATATTAATAATATTTGGTTGAAAAGACCAGATTTTTTCATGCAACTGTTTCTCAGATATTGCCATTTTGGTGAAAGCTCTTGAATTCAGTCACGTATTCGCCATATTGCTTGCATGTTAGGGGGGGGGGGTAGAAACATTGTAACAGCTTGTGCGTTAATGAGTTAATAATTTGCGCTGCTTCACTTCGAAACCTGGGGCATTTCATAATAAGAAAAAAGGGTTTATCACATACAATCTTGGCATTTCTGACCGTCTACAGGTTTTCGGTTATTAACTGCTTTTTGAAAAGCCTTATTCCTACAAACATAGCATAATGCCTGGATATAATGTGTGGGAAAACGAGACCTATAGGCTTAGGGTGAGTTTTTCTACGTTATTCGAGTTCTCCCAAACTACTACAAGTGTTTCTATAACTGTATGGGTCTCACATGATAAATGTTTTATGTACTATTTAAAAAACGAGCAGGAGTGTTTTATTAGGTTTAAAGCGACGAGCGCACAGCGCGAGTGGCTTTAGACCTAATAAAACACGACCCGCGAGTTTTTTAAATGACTTCAAAAACGTATGCATAATAAGTCAAATCTTTATATAAAAATCTTTATATAAAAATCTTTATATAGTTTGCATAACAATGGTCTTTTGTTAAAGTGTTCTTTAGCTGGTATAAAGACGTATGCACGTGACTAATTTCTTACTCAAGATTGGATAATTGCTTCATGAATTATTAATGAGTTTTTGAAATTTATTTCATAATGTAACTAAAAAAAAGATTTGTAGTACACTCGATATATTTACAAATTCTCATCACATAATAATGCCGACCTTTGCTCCTTTTGCCTTTATCAGCAAATATCGCTATTTGCCTTAATTTCACAACTTTTATGCAAAGAATCTAACGAAAGGTATATCCTTTGCTACAAATTGACGAATATAAAGAAAAGTAAGGGAAATTCTTCCGCTAAATTTGCCGATAAGGCACATTAAAATTGTTTTGTTTATGATTGTAAGTTTAGGCGGGAAATTTCCTGTGTAGAAACACACTTCTCGACCAATCAATGCTCGCGTACTAGAAATGTTCTATATTATCATAATTTATGCATTTGGTACGGCTCATGTAAAGCACGGCAGTATAAATCAACATGTGCTTCAGCCGTGTAGCACGCCTGAACCAGGCGAACTTATTAATTTAGCCGTGCTTAATATTAAGTGCAGTGCTTAATTGATTTAGACGCCGTGCTTCTCATGTGCTTAATTGATTGTATTAAGTCCGGCTTAAGGCCCAAACAGACCGGACGCGAATTGGCAACGCGACGCGAATTTTCAGTTTTCAATGGCATTTAACTTTAATATTTTTCAATGATTTTCAAATATTTGGAACCACTTAAGCAATTTTAGCTCTTTGGTCTGCATATCTTGTAAAATTTTTATCCATTGACGGTTTTATTTGTTTTTGAAAACTGAAAATTCGCGTCGCGTTGCCGAATCGCGTCCGGTCTGTGTGGGCCTTTATGAAAAGCAGCGCCGTCTAAACCGGGCCTTAGCTAAGCTACGACACGTGCGTGATTAATTGCTTTTTCTTTTGTTATGCATTGTTTTAATTAGGCACAGAGGTGAAAATATGCGATTTTGACTAACATTTTTGATCGGCCTCGTACATGCTTATTTTTTCTCCACTTGGTATGAAAAGCATGTCGTTCAATAGCTAAAAGCTTGATCTTTCCGAATATGAAAACCAATTGGTCATACGCCGAGTGATTCACGTATAATAGCGCGCTGAAGTTCGATTACCTTTTTTTTATACACCATGTATAGAAGTAGCAGAGAATTGAATTGCTTTCGACTTTTCAATATTACAGTGGGGCCACTTAAAGAACACTAACGAATCACATTGCAGAACAGAAATTAAAAAATCAACAAACGGCGCATAAGCCAATCAGCATTAGGCCAAAAACAATTTGAACAAATAAACGAATGTCAAACGGTAAAATTAAACTTGTAAAACTAAACACTGCAGTTAATGGCTTCCTGAATCTTTCTTTTGATTGGACGAGCTTTAGTTTGATTAGATTTTTCTTTTTGTTCTGCAGTGCGATTGGTTAGTGTTCTCTAAGTGGCCCCACTTACAGTAGATGCACTGTAAATTCGGCCGGTTCGGTTCCATAATTTGACCTACACTCCCAAACAAAAATCGACGATACTACTAATTATTGGATTAAGTTTCGTATTGTTATCACAAACTGAGACCCCACCCCCTCATATTAATGTTGATTATACCGCGCGGAAAAATAGTTAAAGCAATGGACCATTTGCATTATAGACTAAATTTTGATCTAGGCAAAAATTTCATTACAGTTTGAAAGAGCATCACAAAATTAGTAATATTCCAAAGTTTCGTTGCGAAATTTGCAATTTTCAGTAATTTTGTATTGCAAACGGGAAATTGATGCCCCACCACTCGATTGGACTGTCAATTTCCCGTGCGTAATACAAAATGACTGAAATACGGCAAATTTTGCAGGGCTATATTATCCGCATTTTACAACATTTTGCAACGAAACTTTGGAATATTACTAATTTTGTGACGCTCTTTCAAGCTGCGATGAATTGATAATTGTCTTGATCAAAATTTAGTCTATAATGCAAATGGTCCATTGTAGTACGTTTAACATTGCTTCGTGTGGGAGGCAGGATGGGAGAGGGGGTGATTTTTAATGCTCAGCTAACCACAGTATATTTTAATTAATAAGTTTGTTTATTTATTTATTTTGTTACTTCACATTTTATATTTACATATATTTGATACAAAAATATAAAATGATAAAAATTCAAAATGCTTATACATTTAAAATTCAGATGCCATTAATTCTGCTTCAGATTCAAGTCGATCAACATCACCTTTTCCAAAATACGCTGAAAATTTACCAAGCTGGGTATAAAAGCGAGATAAATGGATTGGACAAAACTCAGGATGATGAGTTGGATGACACTGACAGGCATTTAATTATACTTTTCATAATTTAAGTCCACTACCCTCTCTGTTCAAGAATTATTACCATAATTATCACTATCATTACCATCATCATCATATTCATTACCATTCATCATTGTCATTATTTGCTCTAGAATATAAAGTCCCGCCAATTTTTTTTTTAATTTGCCAATTCGGAAACCAAAATTTTGCACTATTTTTTTTTCTTATGCATTACCAGGCTAATAAACAATTTTTCAACAGAAGCTGCTATTTAAGGCGAAGTGTGAGAATTTAAGATTATTCTTTTAACATTCAATTTCTCAAATAGATACATGGTATAATATTTAAACTTTGTAAAACTGTCAGTTTTAAAGTTTTCTAAAAGGCGACAGTAATTACTTTTTTCGAATTGACCCGTCACCTATATGCGCTACATCGTAGATACAATTAAATTTACATGAACAGAAAACCAAGGCGCTTTATTGAAGCTATGAATTATCACCTAGAAATAGAGGTCATACAAACATGTGCTCTTTGAAATTGTGGAAAATATTCTAAAATCATTCTAAAAACATTTTCTTAAATTAACTATGCCCAAAACTATTATCATATAACATAAGGGCAAAAGTAAGTAGCATAGTACGTTTTTCAAATTTTTTATAAAAACAGTTCTTGCATGTACAAACTGTTTGACCTCCACAAAAATGGTTTGCCTCTCATACCCCCCTCCCCTCCCCTCTAAAGTTTGCGGCCTGAAATGACGTTACTGGGTTAAGTTTGCGGCCTGAAATGACGTTACTGGGTTTAAATGCTTAGATTGTTGTATAATATAAGATTCTTATAAAGATGGAAATTTTCTCCATTTGTCTGAAAGTTTATCTTTTATATAATAACAATTTCTCTGTAGGCTTTCGTCAATTACATACCTCTCAATCAACGCATTTTACAATCCTGAAGCAAATGGGATGAGTAAGTTGTTCAGTTATTACTTTCTTTTTCTACTCATTTTTTCTCCTTTCCTCAACCAATCATGCCATTTCCTGGTCTTTCGTTCTTTCTTTCTTTCTTTCTTTCTTTCTTTCTTTCTTTCTTTCTTTCTTTCTTTCTTTCTTTCTTTCTTTCTTTCTTTCTTTCTTTCTTTCTTTCTTTCTTTCTTTCTTTCTTTCTTTCTTTCTTTCTTTCTTTCTTTCTTTATTAGCATTTCCTTATATTCTGTTCTCAATTGTCTTTTCCTTTATTCAGTTGTTGCCCTATGTTGTGTGTTTATGCACGAAATTGTCGACGGGGTCATTTGACCAATTCGCCTGGCAGTGTTTTCCACCATTAAGCAAGCCACAAAG